TTGTCGTCCAGATCGACGTGCACGGCATCCGTGACTTGCTGCGGCCGTGTTGCCTTTCTTTTTTGGCTGCCACGAGCGTCCTCTGCTTTCCGATTGGGCGTGCGGCATGGATCAACTATTACTGACTAAATCGCTACGATCACTCGCACATGTAGAGTTTTGCAGGTAAAATCTAGGCTGATATTCCTCACAGTGGGACTCGGATCATGATTGATGTCCTCGTCGTGCAGATCATCTTCATCCATCTTTATCTCCAGTGCATCGTAGTCGACTTCCTCCGAGACGTCGGATCGCTTCTGAATGCACGATTTCACGAAGAAAATTGACTCGAGCATGGGGAACGTTACCGTTTCTGACGGTGCCTCTGCATTAGCACTGGAGAGCGTCTGCTGGCCAAGATTTGGTGCGAAAGGATTGTTTGCCAGCCATGCGGACAGCCACTGATTCGAGGATAGTGCCGTCAGATCCATTGCGGGCAGAAGGTTATTCTAAATATAGAAAATTAATCTTTCATCAAAAGAAATGTGCGAATTGCTTGAATTCGTGCATCAGAATCCGCAGCATTTGTAGATTAGGAAAATCTACAACGAACTGTGTTTATACTAACATTTTCCTCAGCAGAATTTTTCAAGAAGCAAATTTTGACGATAAAACTCTTCTTTTGCTCTCATCTGAACTATAGACACCGTTCAAAAGTGAAACTTGGTCGATCGGGTTTTTCTGGTTTTCCTTTACTATATATCATTATATCAGTGTACAGTAAGACAGTAAATGCCCCTATATAGCGAAGACGGTAATAAGCAAGCTGTAAGCGATGCTAAAAACGAAAAATGCGATACAAGCTTTCTGATTCGAGGTCAGCGAAGGTTTCAACTTGGCAGTACTTCTGGAAACGCAGACTTGAAATTGTTACAAACAAGATGTGATGTAGATTTGGAATTTTGAGCATTTTCAAATGACGAGAACATTGGAAGCTGCAAGATATCATAGAATAACGACTTCATGCGAACAAGAGAATATTTACTTCCAAGCAGACTCAGGGTGCTGGAAGAAGAAGAACAACGCAGAATACTCACTTTGTTCATGGTGGCCAACAGGTTTTCTGTCTTCACAATCGTGGGAAATATCGAATTAATGCCAGCGTTATTGTTTGCAGTTTTCGCATTGTTATTGTTATTATTGCTGTTACTGCCATTGCCATGATTGAGAAAAGGATGTTTTAATAGCGATTCCGTAGAGTAAGTTGGCGATCCACGTGGTGAGTCGTCGAGGGAGTTACCCGGCCCGTCTGTAACTAATAAATTTGTTCAAAATACAGGTCAGCACGAACTGTGCAGTTTGCATATATTTTGTTTCCATACCTTCAGTTGAGCTTCTAGCAAGGATGGCCACCTCTCCAGGAGTACCATTTCGTAGCATGCTTTGCATGTGGATATGTAAACTAGTCTTATCGGGAAAAGCCCAGTTGCAGCATCTGCACATGAACATCCTTGAGATGCTATGGATCCGAAACATATGCGACCGGAGCGTTTCATTACCTGAAAATAACACGATTCAGCTCAAACCGCTTTATCTACTGTCTCCCTCGTTCTCAGAATTGCATAATTTGCCGGAAAACGCAAAACGCAACAAGCCACAGCTGCTATGTATGTAAATCGTCTCTTCTCAAATCGTTTAGTATCCGTTGTTCGCCTAGCACAGGCAAGCGTTCGTGCATAATTAGCTCTTTGTATGGATTCAAGCACATTTCAACCAATAAACCTTAGTGTTCTTCTCGACTGCGAAAACGGTAGAACAAAGACAAAGCTGAGTTCACCAAAATCAACATAAAATGATCGTTGCGGGCTTGGTTTGCGCAAACCACATGGTTTTTCTGCCTCGGACCTCGACCTTCGCGTGAACTTCTCCTGATATACGAGATAGAGATAAGATCTGATGCGGGGACATCCTTGACCTGATCCAGACGGGTGCTCCTTAGCTGCAGGTGTGCGTGCAACATTGTTACCGTTTCCCCGTAACAAGTCGAGCAGGCAGCGATGAGAGGCGACCGCACGCGGCTGGACGCGATCTTGGCAGCGACCAGCGAGGTCAAAGAGAGCCGGGCTGGACCTAGCCGGTTCAAACTTGCGCTAAGATTCTACGCTGTCCGTAAGAACGCGTAATTAGTTGAGTGAGGTCAGAGGGAGGATAGTGCCGTCCTTGGTACTGTGAGAGGGAGCCTGACCTCTCATGGGACCATAACAGGAAGCCGCTACAATTAGGCTATGCAAACAGGAGACGTGTGCGAGTAGTCGCGCGCATAATACGAGAGTGCGATTCGTTGCGCAATCGTGCCGAATAGGTTACGTACCACAAGCTGCATTAGCGCAGCTATTCGGACGGTAAAAGCACGAAAAGCAACAATGGAACCCATGTCCTTAAGGACCTCTCAAACCTCAAAATTACTTTGACGTAAAACTTATTAGGTGGCGGACTCGAATTAGAAACAGCCTTCTTCGTTAGTGATATTGTCCATAGAACTTCTCCTGACATATTTGATTTACAGGCGACGAGATCAATAATTAGTGAACGAAGAAGAACCTGGTTCCCAAACTGGTCTCTTTATTTTGTGATCAAAGTGATGAAAGACGGCATGATTTTGCTTTTGCAACGAAAGAAATATCTTTAATAGAGCATTAGAAAAGTTTTTTTT